ATGGCTGATCATTTCCTTTATTCTCATGACCTTAATGTGTGATTCAGGGGTGATATTGTAAGGAGAAATTAGATGCTGGTCACTCTTACGCTGATCATTTCCTTTATTCTCATGACCTCAATGTGTGATTCAGGGGTGATATTGTGAGGAGAAATTAGATGCTGGTCACTCTTACGCTGATCATTTCCTTTATTCTCATGACCTTAATGTGTGATTCAGGGGTGATACTGTAAGGAGAAATTAGATGCTAGTCACTCGTAGGGGTCAAAGGGATAACTCATCCACTTCTGAATCAGAGATGCTCTGGTTGAGTTAAACAATAGGATATAAGAAGAAGGGGGAGCTTCATACAAATAACATCAAACAGTTTTCTTTATGTTTCCAAGGACCTAAATTTTTCAATTCTCTGAATATAGAAATCCAAAATGTTGACACACTTTCCCTGTTCAAGTCTAAATTGCGAACATTACTCTATAGTTGAATCCCTTCTTATTCCCTCATTATTTATTTATTTTTATTTTTCTCAAGCTGCTTAAGTATATGTTTGTTTGAGTGCCTGCTGTTGTTGTCGTTGTTTATATGTGTGTGTATATTCTTTCCTTTTTAGCCTAAAATATTTTGTACCTAAATCATGCCAAAACACTTATACCTACTTTTGTAAAATGTGAGTAGCCTGTAGCTCGCCTAAGCATCTTGGTTTCCCTATGGGTTTCCTGCCACATGCTAAATGTGGCAGCAATCTTCAGTGATGTTATATTAATGTCTATGTAATTCCTTTTATTTTTACTGATGTATCATGAATTACAAAATGGCAAAATAAAAAATAAGCAACAATAAACAGGGCTCGACACTAACTTTTCAACGTACTAGCCAAGTGGCCAGGTGACATCTTAGATGCTACGACAATGTCAGTTCGTTTACTAGCCAGATTGGCTGGTGGAAACCGAAAACCACTAGCCAAAACTGAATTTCTACTAGTCTGTGGCTAGTGGGCTACTGTTAGTGTTGAGTCGTGATAAACAACATCCATTCAAGAGACACAACTGTGACCCTTTCTCTCCTAACATCCACATATCAATTCTCTGCACTGTCTGCCATCCATTACTTACAAATTTAGTGCAGAGAATCAATTTTTGTGTAGCTGATTATATTACAATATCCCTGAGTTGATATTTAACAATTATTCCATGGGCTCGTGTTGGATATGAGATGATAGATAGCCAACTTGGTGCGTAGTGCTGAGTTGGCTATCTATCATCTCATACGCCCCCAAGATATTAGACAAATCTTCTCGACTTTATTTTGCAAGAAGAAACCAGATGTTACAATGTACAGATATTAGATTATGGTATATCGGCTCATATACCATAATAGCTAAGCCAATAGAAAGTCTTGAATTGCATTATCCAATGATCCAGTTTTTAATAAATTGCCATATCCCTGAGTTGACATTTTTTAATTACTTTCTTTTATTGGGTCCATAGCCAGGTCTGGGTTAAGATAGCCAAGGGTCATTTTAGATTTGAAAGCTTTAAAAGGAAAATAATAATAACAGTAGTTTATTAAACTCTCTTGCAGTAACTTACTGAATTAACGAGTTATGATACAATGAAAACTTAATAAGGACAACTATGTACATTTCTGGCAAGTAATTCATGGCAGTCTCCATATAGACTCCCTGTTACCCCTGTGTACCCATGTCTACTGTTATGGCAGTCTCCATATAGACTCCCTGTGTACCCTGTGTACCCTGTGTACCCATGTGTACCCTGTGAACCCATGTGTGCCCTGTGTACCCAGTGTACCCTGCGTACCCTGTGTACCCATGTATACCCTTTGTACCCATGTATACCCTGTGTACCCTGTGTACCCATGTATACCCGGTGCACCCTGTGTAACCATGTATACCCTGTGTATACCCTGTGTACCCATGTCTACTGTTATGGCAGTCTCCATATAGACTCCCTGTGTACCCTGTGTACCC